GAAATGGTATAGGGTTTCCTGCCTGAGCAGGGGGTTGGACTAGATGACCTCCAAGGTCCCTTCCAACTTTATCATTATTATTATTAAGGCTTGTCTAATCTGAAAGACGGGAAGTAAAATAAAAGTAAAAAGGGGAGATCAAATGCTATTTCAAGCATCAGTTCTTAAAATGATTGTGAATAGTTCTTCTGTGGGCCTCTTAGAAGCAGTTCTGCAGAAGAAGGAAAGTAATGACGCAGTATTCTTTGCCAAGTTGATGAATAACTAGCTGTTCCCCAAAGGTCTTTCAATAGATCTGTGTCTATCTATATCGACTCTACCATAAATTAAGGGATTACAGAGTCGTAAAAAGGGAGTTTATATATAGATCCATATTTGTATCTCTCTATTTTAGGAGAAACAGTTTTTCCACAAAGTGAACGAAAAACTTTCTAAACCAAACATCTTCATCCTGAACAACCGCTGGGATGCCTCTGCATCAGAACCTGAATACATGGAAGATGTGAGTTACAGATTTGTAATTTTCTTGGAAAATGCATCTTAAGGGGTGCTTAGATTGGTACTTAAGACTTCAAATTTATTTAAGGCGACAGTCATAAATTCAGAGATCATCTTCCCAAAGTAAGCCACTCAAGAGGTGGTGTAGAGCAGGGCTTTTCAACCAGTGGTACAGGTACCACCTGTGGTACATTGGCACCTGGCAGGTGGTACGCGACCATCCTAGAAAAGTGGTAGTGCGGGAGGGGAATGAGCTGAACCGGTGGCAGCACCGCACAAGCCTGAGCGAGAGACGGCTGGAGCTGCAGGGCTGTCAGGGCTCAGTGGAAGCGCCAGGATCAGCGCCAGGGTCCAGCTGGAGCTCAGCGCTGATCCTGGTGCTTCTGCTGAGCCCAGAAGAAGCGCCGATCAGTTGGAATGTTGCAGCCTCTCCAGGGTCTTGTGATTTACATTCAGATGCTTGGCAACTGGTTCATATTTATGACGGTCACAGTGTCCCAGGGTCATGTGAAGTGACCAAAACCTGCTGCAGTCATCCAGCAGACGGGGGGGGGGATAAAAACCAAACACCCACTCACCCCACTCCCGCTGCCAATCCTCAACAGAAATGCTCACAACAATGGAAACCTCGGACAGGAGGAAGAGCGCCACCAGGTGGGCAGGCAGGTGTCTTGCTCGGCTGTGGCTTGGGGGGCACTTTTTTTCAGTGCCATTGTAACTTCGAACAGTCAGTAAGCGAACTGTTGTAAGTCGAGGACTACCTGTACTTTATCACTTTTTTCCCTTTTTTTTTTTTTTTTTTTTGGTCATCAAGTTTTTGACCCCTTGCTAGGCGACTGTTGGTACTCGGATGTTGCCATATCGTAAAAGTGGTACAATGGGTGAAAAGGTTGAAAAGCCCTGATGTAGAGAAACTAGAAGTTGCTTTTTGTGTTTTGTAAAGGGATGGGAGAACTGATTGATGATCACTATGCACTATCGTTGTCATTTTGCAGGTACGCAAACAGCACATGGAGCGTTGCCTAACTTTCTTGGCGGATGAGCTCAGGGTTGTGGACCGTTCTGAAGCCCAAAATCGAATTTTCTTTGTTTCAGCCAAGGAGGTTCTCAGTGCAAGGAAACACAAAGCTCAGGGCATGCCTGAGGGAGGTGTGTGTTGTACGCTAGGTCCACTTTCTGGTGGTCATGGTCCTTAACCTCTTCTGAAGGTTGGCTATTTCCCCCCCCCCAGAAGCACCCATGTTTAAAAAGAGTCCTGCATCTTCAAGAAATGCCTGTTCATCAACTCTGTTTTGTGCTCTTGTAGGTGGTGCAATCGCCGAGGGATTTCAGACACGGTTCCAGGAATTCCAGCACTTTGAAAAAATATTTGAGGTAATCTTCCAGAGTGTCGTAAGTCAGACTGAATGGACCTATGTATAGGATATCATCCATAGATCTGTTCATTCCAGGATTATCTCCAGAAAATAAATTTATCATGAGCTTAGTGTGTTTGCTTAGAAGAGTCAGAAGAGAGCTGCATTGAAATAATTATGACTCTTACATTCAGCTATCCTTCCGCTAAGGATGTTGCGTTAGTGCAACATATAGTTCCATCCTCTTCTAGTGACTACCTTGTACATCAGAAAGTCGAGAGAACCCAACTGTTTTTCTATCATGGAGTAATGAAGATACTTCTAGCTTAGGCTTATTAAGGGTCTATGCCAGGGGTAGTCAACCTTGGCTCTTTTATGACTCGTGGACTTCAACTCCCAGAATTCCTGAGCCAGCTTAGCTGGCTCAGGAATTCTGGGAGTTGAAGTCCACGAGTCATAAAAGAGCCAAGGTTGACTACCCCTGGTCTATGCTATCCAAGTCTGAAGTTTTTTTTTCCCTGGGGAAAACCTTTTTTTTTTTTCCAGATTCAGTCCTAAAAAACATGACGTAACTGACTTCTTTCTCTCTCCCTAAATGTTTTACTCTGAGTATGGTAACAACGGATGTACTTCCTGTATCCGATACTTGGCAGCCAAAAGTGAATTTGTATTATAATCATTCTTAAAATGCTTCTGGGGTCTGCGGGACTGGCAGCCAATGGTAAGGGATGCTCTTCATTATAGTGTGGGAAAATTTTGGAGGATCACCCTTTCCTTCCCTGCTCTAGAAGGCAGCAAAGGTTGATATGAGACACCACAGAAGAAGCATTGCAAGTCTCACAAAATAAGGACTAGCCTGATCCTTGTTGGCTTCCATGAGACCCTTAATGCCATTTTATATTTGTAAGGCTGGCTAAAAAAGGAGAAGCCGGATGGCCATGTATGTCTTGTTGACTGTCATTGATCTTGCCCCCATGTCATATTGACTATCATTGATCTTGCCACCATGTCATATTGACTATCATTGATCTTGCCACCATGTCATATTGACTATCATTGATCTTGCCCCCATGTCATATTGACTATCATTGATCTTGCCCCCATGTCATATTGACTATCATTGATCTTGCCCCCATGTCATATTGACTATCATTGATCTTGCCACCATGTCATATTGACTATCATTGATCTTGCCACCATGTCATATTGACTATCATTGATCTTGCCCCCATGTCATATTGACTATCATTGATCTTGCCCCCATGTCATATTGACTATCATT